TGGCAACAAACTTGACTGTGATTACAATCAAACGTAATCAGGTGGTGTTGTATGATGAACCAACTGCTGGACTTGACCCAATTGCATCAACTGTTGTTGAAGATCTTATACGTTCTGTTCATATTAAGGGTGAGGATGCTAGTGGGAAGCCTGGGAACATTGCGTCCTATATTGTTGTCACCCACCAACATAGTACCATTAGGAGAGCTGTTGACAGGTTACAGTTTTAGCTGCTGTTTTACGACCTCTTGCTGCTGCTTATAAATGTAAATGATTTTGGTGGCGAATCCTTAAAAGAACAAAATTTGATGTTGTGTAGGTTAATATTTTTACATGAGGGAAAGGTTGTCTGGCAAGGAATGACTCATGAATTTACAACTTCTACTAATCCAATCGTTCAGCAGGTAATGACTCATGCTTTCACGTTCTATGTGTAATAGCTTAAATCCACCGCTACAGTTGGTATCAGAGCTATAAACATTGGGCGGTGTGCCAACGAGGATGTTGAGCCCCGAAAGGAGGTGGATTTTGAGATCCCACGTCGATTGAAGAGAGAAACAAGTGTCAGTGAAGACGCTAGGCCCCAAAACCCACCATTAGTAGATATTGTTCGTTTTGGCAAGTTACGTATCGTTGTTAGCCTCACGGTTTTAAAACACGTCTACTAGGGAAAGGTTGCCACACCCTTGTAAGGAATATTTTGTTCCTCTCTCCAACTGATGTGGGATCCCACAACCCACCTCCTTTGGGGGCTTAGCGTCCTCGCTCACGCTGTCTGATGTCTGACTCTGATACCAGTTGTAACAGCCCAAGCCCACTGCTAGCCGATATTAAAATATGTCTACTAAGGAGAGGTTTCCACACCCTTCCACACCCTTAAAGGGAATGCTCTATTTCCCTCTCCAATCGATGTGGGATCTCACATATAGCTCAAGGAGTTATGTATCTGAGTCTATTTTAATTCATACTATGTTCTTGTTTTCAGTTTGCGTCGGGAAGCTTGGATGGTCCGATTAAGTACTAGCAGATACACTAATGATCGTACACTCACCATTCCTAACTCTCAGGAGGTAAGAGAGCTTAGTTACAGGGAAGACAGATAGATAAGTTCTAATGGACCAATTCTACACAATGTTGTTTCCTATGCCTTTAGCATATATTCTGTAGCAGCAAATGCTAGAAGTTTAAATCATATGATATCATGTTGACATTGTTATTGTTTTGCTGGGATGAATCGATATTAACCAATAAAATTAAACGTTCAAAAATTTAGTTGACACTTCCAAGAATGAGGTCAGAGGTTCAAATATTTCATAAGTTGTAACGGCCCAAGCTCACCGCTAGCTGATATCTTTGGGCTTTCTCTTTCGAGCTTTCCCTCAAGATTTTTAAAACACGTATATTAGGGAGAGGTTTTCACACCCTTATAAAAATGTTTCGCTCTCCCTAACTGATGTGGGATCTCACAATCTACCGGCATCCTGTTGGTACTCATTCCTTTCTCTAATCAATGTAGAACCCTCTAATACACCCTCCCTTCAAGGCTCAGTATCTTTGTTGGCACATTGTCTCATGTTCACTCATCTTCTGGACTCAGCTTTTTCGCTGGCACATCGCCTAGTGTCTAGCTCTGATACCATTTGCCACGGTCCAAAACCACCATTAACTAATATTATCCTCTTTGAGTTTTTCCTTTTGGCCTTCCTCAAGATTTTTAAAACGCGTCTGCTAAGAAGAGATTTTCACACCCTTATAAAGAATGTTTCGTTCTCCTCTCCAACCGATGCAGGATCACACATAACGATCGTACTAAAAACTAAAAAGAACAGAAGAAAGAAGAATTGGGGTAAAAAAGATAGACAATATGTTCATTAACCTAGGATGATGCTAACTCTCAAGGTAAAAGGAATATACAAGAGAGCAATTCCTACACTTGATTAAGCTTTTGTGTGGAGAAAGTAGTTTCTTGCTCTAGCAGAACACAACAGGGAAACAGTACCTAAGTAGAAACTAACAAATGCACTCAAACAGAAAACCCAAACCGATATCGGCCCCTCCGATTCCGAATCTGAGATCTTCCCCGGAACAGTTGGATACCCAGTGGAACGACACCCTTCGCCCGAAGACTCCACACACAGTTCTGGATTCCCAGCAAATGCACCTGGGAACCGCTTGAATCCCTGCTTCTCTGAAACCAAACCCGAGAAGCAGTTATACGACAGATCGAGAAGAGTCAAATCCTCGAGTATGGATATATTTCCTGGGATTTCACCAGACAGATAATTGTGGGACAAATCTAAGGCTCTTACACTCTGCATGTTCTCTAACCCAGGAAGCTGTCCTTCAAGAGAGTTATATGATAAGTTCAAGTATTGCAGACCCTCTAGTGAAAATAGACCTTCCGGGATCGACCCGTGTAACAGATTATTCGACAAATCGATTCCAACAGCTGAAGACAGATCATAATTGAATCGTAATTCGCTACCGACATCTACAACGGTAGAAACTTTAAAATTCACAACTTTCTTTGCTGCGAATGGATCTTTCGATGGCCTACTAATGTCGCCGCTGTTAAAATTCGAGCATATGTTGAAGTTGACATCAGGTATGGAGCCAGAAAATTTGTTGCTTGAGAAGTCCATCAGCTGAATTACTTCAAATGCAAACAACCAACTGGGAAGGTTACCTATGAACTTGTTGCGAGCGAGGGAGAGATATCTCAGGTTCGACCATTTCGTTATCGCATCGTTCAAATTTCCCGACAGATTGTTGGAGCTGAAATCAACGATCTCCAACGATTTACATCCTGCCAAAGTCAGTGGTACTTCACCAGAAATCATGTTGTTGCTAATGTCTAATATCTTCAGACTATCCAATGCATCAAGCTCAGGTTGAATCTCACCAGAAAGATTATTGTTGTTGAGTATCAAAGCAAGTAATTGAAAGCATCCAACAATGTTCAACGGAATCGAGCCCGATAAGAAGTTATACGAGAGATCAATGACTTGGAGATATGTCAGATTCCCAATCCTTGCAGGAATTTCCCCGACAAGGAGATTGTGCGAAAGAAACAACGCCTGCAAACTTCTCAGTTCCGTGATCTTCGATGGAATTCCACCCGAAAATCGATTGTGAGACAAGTCAAGAAGAACAAGCCCTGATTTCTCTATCGTCTCCACGATCCTGCTCGGAAGAGGGCCATATATATCATTGTTACTCAAGTCCAACACGAGTAGCTGCTCCGAAAACAGGAGTCTAGGAGACATCTTGTAAGTTAAATGATTCGATGATAGATTCAACTGAACCAAAGCACGAAGCGATGCGATACACGTTGGCACGCCTCCAAAAATAGAATTGTTAGCCAAATTCAAAACTGTGAGTGACTGCTTGCAAGCTGAAAAACAAGGTAGCGTTCCAGAAAATCGATTCGACATGAGATTCAGCAAAACCAAAGGCTGCTGGAAATCGAACACATTTCCTTTCAAATAGTTATTTCGAAGATCCAAATACTTAAGGGACGTCGAGTTCGACAAACTCTCAGGCAGTTCACCACTAAAAGAATTGAAACCCAGATCAAGTTTCTGCAGCTTTGTTGAAAAGTTCCCAATCCAAGAAGGAATAGGACCCTTTAAGTATTGGTTCCCAACCAAAACAAGCTCTTCCAAGTTCTCTAGCTTCATCAATGTCTCAGGCACAACACCTTGAAACCGATTACCACTCAAATCAACAGTTCGAAGACGGATCAAATTACCGAAACACGTCGGTATTGAGCAAGAAAAGTTGTTCTGGGATAAAATCAGATGCTCAAGAAATGAAAGGTTACATAATCCAGGGTTAATTTGGCCAGACAAGTTCATATCAGAGAGTTTAATGGAAACCACTCTACCAGTCTTGTTTTCACAAGCGATTCCAGTCCAATCTGAACAGTTAGAACCAATCCAGCTTGATAAATTCTTATTTGGGTCTTGAATCGATGATTTGAACGCTAAAAGAGAGGCCCCATCTTGAGGGTTAAGGTCCACTGAGTGGGAAGGGTTTAAGCAAAGAATCACCAAGAATAAGAACAACAGAGCATGCCAATCAAGCGACTTAGAAGGAGAGAAAGAAGAAACCCATTTCTGGGCTGCTAATGAAGAACAAACCCAGAAAACCCTCATACAGGGAAACGGAATCGATTTACCAAAAACCCAGTTCCTGTTCATCACTGAGAAACGAACCAATTTCACTAGAACTCCAAAAACAGCCAGAAGAATCAATTTTAGTAAAACCCCATTTGCCTAAACAAGACCATCGATGAGATAATGGTACATAACACAGAACATAGAATGAGAAATAGAGACTTACGAGTGGAAATGAAGCGAGATAGGAAGCAGCGGCAGATGGGGGTTTTGTTTTTATGGGATTGTGGGTTATCGGAGGTCGCAGTAGAACAGAGATTCTCTCATTACATGTCTTCTTCGCCTTGTTTATGGAGAGAAAAAAGCAGAGCCATTAAAGGGGGAAAAGCGGAACTTCGACTAGGGACGGTAGAGATTTAAAGTGAAAAAGTGAGTGAGCTTGTTGGTCTGTGTGTCCACTCGATCCTTTTCCTTCTGACCCAAGTTTTGGACCCTCAAATGGCTAATTCTCTCCCGTTGGACGCGAGGAGAGACTACGAAGAAAACTACATTTAAATGAAAGTGATCTTATGATATGGTGTATCTTCTTTTTTTGTTGCTCAATCATAGAAACTTCATAGTTAAGGGTGCTTTTTATGTTGGTGACCTCCCGTTAATTTTCTTACGATATATGAGTGAGGACAAAACATGTTAGTGAGGTAGTTTTCGAGAAATGCAGAAGAATGAATCCTTGAGCTTTGATCAGTAATAATTTAGTCCTTACATTTTCGAATTTGTAACTATTTTTTCAGACTAAACCATCAAAAGATTCGTGATCAAAACATACGAATATAAATATCTTATCGTTTTAGGACATTGATGTTATACTGAATCTCAAAAGAATTTTAGTTCATAAGTGAATTGAATGGAATGAAAAGATTGTCATGATTATGAAATGAATGAAGATAATGACAATGATTATGAATACTTAGTTACAATGTCGTTAAACAAAAGAAGTTCTAGAAAAAAAATGGCGTCGAGCTCTATCTCTCATCTTTCTCCCTTGTCGTTCTCTCCCCTCTCAGAAATGAGACGAAGGGAAGCTCCTCCCTCGTCTCATATATGAAACGAGGTAATGGCGACAGTGACACTGACGGAGTCGTGTGTTGGTGGAGGCTAGCTACAATAATATAAGACTTACGAGACACCAAAATGCTATCAAATTCAAATATCAGTTCGCTCTGGTGGCACACAGCCATTGCTTTGGGGTCTCTAGATCATCACCTGTGGCCGTTGGAATGTGCCAACTTCCATTTTCACACTCCTGGAATAGATTCAACATTCATCAAATATCTAAAACACGAACGATGAATGTTCATATTTTAAAGATTTAGCACGTTAATCGTTGCACCTGAATGACAACTGAATAAGGCGGAGGCATGTGGAGTTTTAGTCCATCTTGCGATACCGACATTCGAATCTGCCAATCATTGGACGAAGTATTAAAACGACACTACTTTGAATCAATGAAGAAAATATGGGTTTGAACTTACCAATATATGGATTGATATTTAGACATGAACAACTAATTGAGAGAAAAATCACGGATATCACGAGTTATTAAGTATTTTATGAAACTTCTTAATAAAAATGTAACAGCCTAAATCCGCCGCTAGCATATATTATCCTCTTTAGGTCTTCTCTTTTGGGATTCCCCTCAAAGTTTTAAAAACACATCTGCTAGTGAGAGGTTTCCACGCCCTTATAAAGAATGTTTTGTTCTCCTCTCCAACCAACGTGGGATTTCACAATCCACCCCCCTTTGAGAGCCAGCGTCCTCACTGACACTTGTTCCCTTCTCCAATCGATATGGGACCCCCCAGTCCACCCCATTCGGGATCCAGCGTCCTTGCTGACACACCGCCTCGTGTCCACTCCCCCTTCGGGGCTGCTCCTCGCTGGCACATCTCCCGGTGTCTGGCTTTGATACCATTTGTAACGGCCCAAGCCCACCGCTAGGAGATATTATCCCATTTGGGCTTTCCCTTTCAGGCTTCCTCTCAAAGTTTTTAAACTACGTCTGTTACGGAAAGGTTTCCACACTTTTATAAACAATGTTTCGTTCTCTTCCCCGATCGATGTAGGATTTCACATCCCAAAAGTAATGAAAAATACCTGATGCTTTTCCTTCCATTGCGGGAAAAAGTTGTTGCCAAGCAATTGGAACAAGTGGTCTCTCATTTCATCGTTCGTCAGCAGAAAACATTTAAAGCGTACAGCAGCATATAGCCAGTACCTGTAGCACACACAGAATAGACTGGTTTGAATTCCTAGTAATCAGCATTCATAAAGGGTACTCAGCTTTCCAATGTCATGCACACAAACAAAGAACTTGAGCTCATACGGTTGGTGAAATGTAACCGTTCAAGCTCACCGCTAGTCCCATTACATATCACCGTCAGACTCACGATTTTAGAACACGTCTACTACGGAGAGGTTTCCACACCTTATAAGGAATGTTTAGTTTCCCTCTCCAACTGATGTGGGATCTCACAATCCACCCCCCTTAAGGACCCAACGTCCTCACTGACACACCACCCGGTATCTGGCTCTGATACCGCTTGTACCGCTCCAGACCCACCGTTAGTAGATATTGTCCGCTTTGTCCCATTACATATTGCCGTCAGACTCACTATTTTAAAACGCGTCTACTAGGAAGAGGCTTCCAGACCCTTACAAGGAATATTTCATTTTCCGCTCCAATCGATATGGGATCTCACAATCCACCCCCCTTGAGGGCCCAACGTTCTCGCTGCACATTGCCCAGTATCCGGCTCTGATACCGTTTGTAACAGCCCAGTCCCATCACTAGCAAATATTGTCCGCTTTGTCTCGTTAAGTATTGCTATTAGACTCACAATTTTAAAACATGTCTACTATGGAGAGGTTTCCACGTCCTTATAAGGAATGTTTAGTTTCCCTCTCCAACTAACGTAGGATCTCACAATCCACCCTCCTTGAAGACCCAACGTCCTCACTGACACACGGCCCGGTATTTGGCTCTAATACCGCTTGTAACACCCCAGGCCCACCGCTAGCAGATATTGTCCACTTTATCCCATTACATATTGCCCGTCAGACTCACGAAGAGGCTTCCACACCCTTATAAGGAATGTTTCGTTTTCCACTCCAACCGATATGGGATCTCACAATCCACCCCCCTTGAGGGTCCAACGTCCTCGCTGGCACACCGCCCAGTATCCGGCTTTGATACCGTTTGTAAACAGCCCAAGCTCACCACTAGCAAATATTGTCCACTTTGTCTCATTACGTATCACCATCAGACTCACAGTTTTAAAACGCGTCTATTATGGAAAGGTTTCCACTTCCTTATAAGAAATGTTTCGTTTCCCTCTCCTACCGATGTGAGATCTCACATAGATGTTTTCAAATATTAATTAAATAACGAGAAAGATGAATACCAGTCATCATTCGAGCCATGAGGGGTAGCATAGAGCGCACCACAATCTTTCCATGACTCTATTAATCTCTTGTTATTAGGATTCAGTGCAGGACCTCCAGTAACACGACTTCTATGTAAAATTATGAGTGGCATTCTCTTTGTAGGGCTCAGTTGACGCATTTGATATACAACCCTTTTGAGCTGCAATTAGAAGATAGTATATTTCAGTACCAATCACAATAAACACAGCATCAAAAGATATATCACCTGGATAAAGCTGAAATGATGTTGATTAATAAGACCAACGTTGGCACCATCAATTACAGCATCAAAAGGACCATGCCTTTCAAGCCACTCCTGAAGTATTTCACCTTCAAACTAGTCAGATTTTTGCCAACATAAATTAACATGTTACTTTTCTAAAGAAAAGATGTAAAACAGATAGAGAACCACTGTGGATTGACTAAGTGAACCATAAGAGCCATGGAAATAATAAAGGGCTTCGGATGGAATAGGTTTAAGCCGTGGTGGCCACCTGTAACGGCTCAAGCCCACCACTAGCCAATATTGTCATTTTTGGGTTTTCCCGGTTTTCCCTTTCGGGCTTTCCCTCAAGGTTTTTAAAACGCGTCTGCTAGGGAGAGGTTTCCACACCCTTATAAAGAATGTTTCGTTCTCCTCCCCAACCAATGTGAGATCTCACAATCCACCCCCCTTTGGGTCCCAGCATCCTTACTGGCACACTGCCACATGTCCACCCCCCTTCAGGGCTCAGTCTCCTCGCTGGCACATTGTTTGGTGTCTGGTTCTAATACCATTTGTAACAACCCAAGCCCACCGCTAGCAGATATTATCCTCTTTCGGCTTTCTCCTTCGGGCTTCCCCTCAAGGTTTGTAACAGCCCAAGCCTACCGCTCCCCAACTGATGTGGGATCTCACAATCTACCCCCCCCCCCC